ACAGAAGAAAGCACTTGCTTGAAATGTGAAAAAAATTGTATTAAGGCATCGGAGGCATTAACACATTAATTAATATGACTAAGTACAAAATCTTGATGACCTAATCTAAAATATTAACTTTCCTCACAGAAAACTTGCAAACTAAAAAAAAATAACTAATATTTTGAGCTCTTCTAATCTATATAACGCTAAACTTCGGCAAAAAAAAAAAAAAAAAAAAAAAAAAAAAAAAAAAAAACCCAAAAAATAAAAAATTTGCAATGACAATCGAGTCTCAAGCGAAGAAAGAAAAACAAGAAAATGAAAAACAATCTGAATATCAGAAAACTTTAACGCAACGTTTAAATCATATACTTTGATCTGTAGAAAAGATTAGAACAAAAGCAAACAACAAGTAACACTTTAAGTTCCGGTTCCCTCCTCCCTACCAATTCAGCTTCAAGTCCATCTAAATTACTGTAGACTTTGGACAAAAAGTAACAACCGGATAAATTGGTAAAACCCAGTCTGCCACATGAGCAAAAAATTTACATAACAATCACAACTACAAAACTTCAACAGCGAGAAATGGAAACGCATTTTTGACAACTCTGTGGAATAGGAAGAAGAAAACACTTTTCATGTTACCATTCCTCAATGTTAACTACTTAAAAGAAAAATTAAAGTGACCGGATCCTCGAAAAAAATATTTATCAATATTCTTGTCGGCTTAAAAAATTGGAGAGCTTCACACGGCTTATTTCCAAACAACCAAAATATTTCAAGCAGTACAATTACTTCGGAACTCTAAGCAACTAAAAGTTCAATAACAATTCTTATCTTCCAGCCCGTCAAAACACCCGAATTGGTACCCTTTAAGGAGGAGATTTTCAATCCCTAATGTTATGAATTAAATGCGATCATTCAGAAGAAATTAACTGTTAACAAATACTTAAACTAAAAACAAGAAACGAGAAATTGCAACTACTACAAGCAGGAAATCCAACTCGCAAATTTCTTCACTCCTCAATTGGCTTTTTTTGCTCTTCTGAAGATGGTTCTGCTTTCCCACCAAATAACACAGCCTCTTTAAATAAACGATGGCAACGATTGCTAAGTTCACTCAGCTGCAAAAAAAAAAAAA